ATTTTAATGTATAACTCGGCTACTTTTGAATGTTTAAAATGTTATTTTAATGTCGTCTAACCCGGCTACTTTTGAATGTTTAAAATGTTATTTTAATGTCGTCTAACCCGGCTACTTTTGAATGTTTAAAATGTTATCTTAATGTCTAACCCTGCTACGTATTTTTTTTCATGTGTAAAAGAATAAAATGAAGATTTCAGTGCGTATAAAAATAACTATATTGGATAAAATATTTGGTCACCTAAACACTTTGTTTACCACACTTTTCCCAACTATTCTATTATTAATATCTAGCAGGTTTGGTTTGAAATAGGGTGGGTGAATGATTTTATCCAAAGTTAATCCTTAAGACCCACACACACATACATATATATGTTTAGTTAACCCATCAAAGAAGATTACCTCAGACAACAAACTGAAATAAACCCTCTGAGAGTTGAACTATTGAAAAATCAAGAAACTTTGTTTTTCTATTCATGCTAGCCTGATTCATAATATCTCTGCACTAATACCAGTTTACTTCAAAATGAGAAGTACGTCTAACATAGAGAACAAAAATAACAATGAAAGTATTAAAAAAATAGTTAATTATAAGTATTAAAAAACTCACTATTATTATTCATGTTAATTTCTAATGAAAGCAAGCTATCTACATAGATCAGAACTAAAAATCAACCCTTAATAACCCTTTCTTAATTCTGTTTGTAAGAAACATTTCTAAAAGGTGTAGAAAATGAAGTTAGGTTAGACCTTTAAGTCATTCAGTCTTTTTTTCTTCAGTGAAAAATTCACAAATACGTTTTACAGCTATTACCAACTGGCAATTACCTGTAGTTTGGAGTTACTGAAGCCTGAAAATAGCTTATATGATGCACTGATAGTACATAAAAGATATCTGAAAAACACCTAATTCTTAAACTACTCTTCTATTGACAGGAATAAAAGTAGTTTTAACTTGTAAATAATATTTCGAAACTAAGGTGAGCTTTTGATATTAGTTTGAGTCCGAGTTCTTGGTTTGGAAGTTTTTTTATTGGTTTGAGTCCGAGTTCTTGGTTTGGAAGTTTTTATATATATATGTGTGGGATGACTTTCAATAAGAGCACCAAAACTAAGACATCTAGATCAGACACCATAACAGTTACCAAAATCTCATTAATCATCAATGGTCGAGTATTCTATCCAAATAAGAGTTTCTGAACATATCAATGGGATCGATCCGTTGTCGTACTTGGCACCAGGTGTCAAAATGTGGATACATCTGTCGGAGCTCTGTGGCTGTCACACTGTGAGCCTGGATTAAAACAAGATCACTAATTAATCATATTATTGTTTTATTAACTTTGATATCAATGTAAATGGAAACACAGTTAATAAACAATGATATCGAGAAATATTTGTTGTTGTTTTTTTTACTTTTTAAATTAATATACATAAACACAATGTGTTATCACATACACACAGACATAAAAGAGGTAAAACAAGGTAAAAAGTTCTCAAAGCCTTTCTTTATTTCAGAAGCTCACCTTTGCCCAGTGTGGTCTTCCACCTGCACTTCTCATTACTTCTTCATAGGCTGCCCAGTATCGTTCATGAGGAACATCTTTGTTGTAAGGTCTATTAAAATACAGACAAATTTACTGATACTGTTAGAAAAAATATATTTTTAAAAGTCTTGTTGAACAAAGCTCTGCATTTCAAGTCTATACAATAACGAGAAACAACCTGAAAATTTCATATGGCTTACCAGATTAATAAGTGTAAATGATATCATAGTGATTTATAAAGAAACAGAAACAGCCAGTAACTTCAGACCATGAAATGAACAAGTGTACACTGGGAAACTAACTTTTTACTGAGAAATCAGAGTAAATTACTTCTAGATGTTTACATCATCTCACTCTTTATATAAATATATGAAACCATATAACCCGAGTACTTTCCAAGGATAGACCTTTCTTTATTGGGGCAAACTTGGAATATATATATATATATATATGAAAAAAATGTACAGGGTTAAAATATTTTTTGTTCACTAAGAAGAGTTACCAATATTCTTCTAATTTTTCATATATTTATTTTACTCTTTCATCCCCACCATTTTATATTTTAACTTGATGGTCTTTAGAAATTAGGCTGTTACGATGTATTTGGCTTTTTCACTGTAGATATTACACGATGTAAAATTCTCTAGTTCATAGTTTTATTTCAGTTTAAAATGAACAATGTCTAATGAAAACTTGATCAAGATATTTGGAGATAAAGGAAATACTACTGTAGAGAAGAATAACTGATCTTATCAGTTTTGTTCTAAAGTAACTGAACCAGCCCGTGTGGACTTTTGAGGAAAAAGAGAATTATTTAAAATTATGGATTCAACTATGGTGATTAACTGTGTAACAAACATTTGTATATACGTTTGACTTGTTTTGAATATATTGTTTTAAAACAAGTTGATTTTGTGCTGTCTGTTTATTGTTGAAATTTATTGCCAACACATCACAGACACCTGCCATAAAAAAATCCAAGCCCTATAAAATCAAACTGTAAAAAGCAATAAAATATTTAGATAACAAAAGACCCAAGTTAACAATATTACTGTATTTACAACTAATTAACAAAGAGATAAAGATTGAGAGTTTGTAGCCTCATAAATAACATTTAATAACAGACTAAAGCTTGATTCTTGCAACTTTAACTCAAAAATATCACTTACCATTAAAAGTAAAATATTTGACCATAATTTATTTCTGTGAAACTTGTGTTAAAATTTCACCATCTAAACAACACTGGAAAATATCAGACCATTGCTTGATATGTTAAACCAGTGTTATGAAGCAGTATTATAAACTAAACTATGAATTGATTGGAACTTTACCTGCAAATCTTTTATCTACCTAATGTGGATGGGGAAATATATATAATGCCTACCTAATGTGGATGGTGATATATATATATAATGCCTACCTAATGTGGATGGTGATATATATATATAATGCCTACCTAATGTGGATGGTGATATATATATAATGCCTATCTAATGTGGATGGGGAAATATATATTATGCCTACCTCAATGCTGATCCTTGTTGATTATATTCATTGTATTTTAAGGAGTTTGTGCATTTCTGAGGTGTTTGGATATCTTTGGTTTTAAAATGCATTTTTCAATTGGTCAGCTGTTCATCAATCACCCAATGAAAAGGAGCCTTATGCAGACTTTGGTTTGACATAAACATCAAAACAGACAAGATAATCTTGGATCAATCCTAATAGCACTTATAATTTTGTTTATGGCCACAGCACCCCAACCCTTACAAGATTTTTCTCAACAAATTAGAATAAACTGGGCTGTTAGCCAATTTGGCAATAAGAATGATGGAAATCTGCTAAACCGTGATCGATTCTCATATATATAAATGCTTAGAGGTTAATAAAATTTCATTTAATAAATAGAGTACTGATAAAAGTGTGTTTTTTTTCCTGGGACAAAAAGTTAATAACACATTCCTTACTTTCAGACATAAGCAACTCAATCTAATGTCATCTATCTCTAATGCATATTCTAGTTAAAGAACAAAACTGATCAGTTGAGTACAGTTAACGAGATCTAAAAATACAAATAACTAAACAGTGACAGCAGCTTGAAAGAAGATACACACCTGTACATTATGATGTTAATATAGCACGTCTCCTGCCCATAGGAAGGACTAATGTATAGGTCATCTTCCTTGACAAATCGTACCTCCACTGGAAAGTGAGCATAGACATCAGGAGTCTTATCCAGCCACTCCTGTAGTTTCCACAAAACTGAACCTGTTTGGTCTCTTAATTACCAAAATACAAATCAAAACATTTACTTAAACTCTTGCTGTAGCACTTGCACATAAAATAAGTATTTTATTACTTTATAATACAAAGAAAAAAAATGCTTCTTATGAGAATATTTCACCCAAATGACCAAAGAAATATTTGCATACTTTCAAACTTTGCAATATTTCATAAGAAGCCCAACAATTTTCCTTATAATTTTAGAGTTGGGTAATCTGTCTGAATAAAGACATACTGATTTATCACTTTATCATACACTGTACATAATACTTTTTCTTCCAATTAAAGTTAACTAAAGAAAGTTTTGTCCACATTCACTCTATGCTAAAATGCAATTATGAAAGTTGACACATTTTTATGATTTTCCCTTGAATGGTCATGCCATAAAGTATCAACTCTGTCAGTCTGTCACTAAAATCTTTCTAGTTGATGAAGGATGTAATTAACAAAATTAATATGGATTTGTGTAAGTTTTGGAATGATGTAAGAAACATATGAGAAATGAGGAGCTTATGGACAGAATTTATAGTTTATAAACAAACCATTTATTAGAAAAAAGTATATTAAAACTTCGATAATTCCAGAAGACATCTTGAATCTTGGGAAATCAATTTGGTTATTTAACATCATACAAGTTTGAGTTTTATAACCTTTACATTTATTATACCTATTTATGTATATTGTCTCTATAAATTTTCCTGTATTTTCAGAAAAGATTATCCTATAGTTATTCCAATAACTTAAGTGTATGTTTACTTGAAAAACTGGGTATAAACTATAATGTCGTTGGTGAAATCAAACAGAATATTACGGTGGAATTAAAACATGAAACACATTTCCGTTAAGTTCTATTTCACTTAGTTTTTAATATGATTCACAGAATTTTTTATTTTAAACTTTGGTCAAAGCTGAAATGGTTTGGTTTGTTTTGAATTTCGCGCAAAGCTACATGATGGCTATCTGCACTAGCCATCCCTAATTTAGCAGTGTAAGACTAGAGGGAAGGCAGCTAGTCATCACCACCTACCGCCAACTCTTGAGCTACTATTTTATCAATGAATAGTGGGATTAACCATCACATTATAATTCCCCCACGATTAAAAGGGCGAGCATGTTTGGTGGGACAGGGATTCAAACCCGCGACCCGCAGATTACGAGTCAAGCGCCCTAACCACCTGAAATGTAAAATACTCTCTATTATTTGCCATTTTATCTAAAGCAACAGTACAAGTATTGAACATTGTTCTTTTGCAAGACAGAAAATAAAAGAAATTATACTTTGCTCACAAGTATTAGGCAGAGTATTCATGATGAAATTTGGTTGAATGAATGGCAACTGCCTGTTGTAAAAACACAGGTATAGAGGATGACGTTTCAAAAGTCTTCCACCTTTCATCTTCAGGTCAGTGTGTGTCTGGTGTTGTTGATCTTTACAATATTCTGGTGGATTGTTTAGTGCATGTTACGATTGGTTGGTTTATTCTGTTTCTGATTGGTGGAGAGACAACCTTTCATCTTCAGGTCAGTGTGTGTTTGGTGTT